TTTAATTTCAACCCTCATATGAGAATATTAGGGTAAGATTATTAGTATTATAGTATATAACTATATATACCCTATATTTATTATTAGAGTGAGAAGGAATCTAGTTTGTCTGGTGAATCTAAGTGTTGTTGAAGTCAGCTATAAATTGAAATGCAATTTGTCTTCCAACAAAGAAAATAATGTTAACTAGAGAAATCTCGTACGGAACTTGAAATGTCAACCAAAACTCAAGGCCTTTCTCTTCTTACCGCTGAAATACAAGCTCCCATTAAAAAACCTACTGAGGGCTCGAGGTTTGAATATTGATATGGAGGTTGTTGTTTCTGTAGGGAGGAGGAAGATTTAGACCATGTCTTTAAGAGTATGAGGTGGCTAAACAGGTTTGAGTTGTTGTAAACCAGAGTGTGTTGGGCCCCAATCAGTCAGATCTGAATTTAATGGCATGGTGATCAAATTTATATGAGGTAGATTTGAAAAATAAAAGCAATAGGATGGAAAAGTGTGTTAATATCCTCTGAAAAATTTGGAAAAACAGAAAACAAAAAACTTCTTCCAATAACTCAGCCCCTCCTCAAATTGTTGTGGAAAAAGCTTCAAAGAATTTGGTTGAGTTCTTTGATATTTTGCAAGACCGGCCGGTTACTTCAAGAGAGAGGAAAAAGTTGATGGGTATTACATGGATTCCCCTAACCCTAGATTTTATATGCATCTTGTTCAAGTAATGGGACATATTTGGTGGCTGTAGTTGCTAGAAATCACCTTGGTAGAATAGTAGACTTCAAAGACTACAATCATGGCATTTTTACCATCAATGTTGTGGAAGCATGGGCTGCGTAGGAGGCTCATAATTTGGCTATGAATTTTAGAGATCAAGCGATTATTATTGAAGGAAACTCAAAGCTTGTCATTTCTTGTCATAATGGTCAGGTCACCCCTCCTTAGAATATTAGGAATATTGTGCAAGACTGCTTGTGGATCAAGGACCAGTTGATGCATGGTGTGTGGTATAGACATGTCTACAAAGAAGCTAATCAAGTGGCGGACTGGCTTACTAATAAAGCTTATTCGGTTCTTAATGGTTGTATATCTTTTAATCTATGGAATCTCCCTTGGGATTTAAACTTTATTTGCTGAAGCGACTTGTGGGGACATGCTACCTCCCCCCCTTTGGCTTGTGTAGCAATGCATGGATTTATCAAAAAAAAAAAGAAAGAAAGAAAGTAAGAAAGAAAGTGAGAAGAAGAAGAAGAAGAAGATCTAAGATTTGAGGTCGTAGTGGTTGTTTTGAAGTTTCGTTATTCACAATCACCGGCATTGCAGCGACTGAATGGACGACACTGCAACAACTTAGATCTCATTTTTCACAAGTCTCTCTCTCTCTCTCTCTCTCTCTCTCTCTCTCTCTCTCTTTGAGATCTAAGATATGAGATTTCTCATATCCTATTTCTCCCCCAATCCCTATCCCCTCTCTCCCTCCTTAGTTCCTCTTCAATCCTAGATCTAGTTTTCATCTTTTTAGTTTTTTTTTTGGTATTATATATTCCTAAAAAATAAATGTTCTTTTATTAAACCACAAACCATTGTCCAGGTTAATTGCAAAAAAGATGGGTCAAGGTAAAAATGGAAACAAATAGATGATTGGTTTTGGGGTTAAGTGATTCAATTGCTTGAATCAACACAGATTTTAAAACCATTGTGAACGTCGAGAAACTCCCGACAATTCACTTCATGCCCGAATATAGGGAGTCGCCACCCATCAAAATATATAACAAGGAGTGATGGGACTCATAGATTTGCATTTGACAAGACATTTCAGAATTAATAGTGACTCCACACCATTTGGCCAAGACAAGACCATTCTAGGTAAGTTGAGAAATAGAGAGGGAAGGGGTTAGGCACCCCTCCCTTGTTTAGTCCACTATCAAGCCTAGATCATATTTCAGCAAATCTCTTTAATTAGAGTATATCATCCATTATCCTAACTTCATATGACTAATCAGACCTTACCATTGTATTCAGAGACCCAAAAAAACCTGCACATCAAATTTCCCAACTAAACACCTCCATTTAATCGTTGAAAAAGTAAGGTTCCATTTTAGGCCCTTTCATTGATTGAAAAACTATAAGCTAAGACTATGATTTGAACTAAAACAATCAATATATACCTGTAATCAAAGATCCATCACTTCCATTAGATTCAAGACGTTCAAAAGTTCTAATCCACCAAATATCATCCCAAAATCTCTCCGTTTAACATTTCATCAAACAAAGATTCTATTTTAGCAAATCTTGTTTATCCGAACTCGTCAGCCATAGATCTCAATCATCCTAACCCTATTTGACCAATCAGACATCACCACTATGTTTAGAGATCCAAAAAACCCTAGCATGTGAAATTTCACATCCTAATCCATCTGTTTGACTGTTAAACTAGAAAAATACCATTTTAACGCACCAAATTAAATTGCCATGTTATCCGTCCCAACCCAAAGCCTCAAAAGGGTGATGGCTGATGTCAGACTCATTCTTGACTCATTAGAACAGTTGTACCAATCAAACAAAGTTCAATAGACCCAAAAACCCCAAGATGTCCCTACTTAAAACCAAGAAAAGACAAAATAGCATTTAAAATTTCATCACATTTACTTTTTCTCCCACTAACAACCCCAAATATGTGACTGTCATGACAGGCAAACCCTAAGCTCCCATTGGATGCACAAAACCCATGAAAACCACCCCCAAATCAAAGAAAATATTTCACCAAATAGGAAAGCTTAATTGAGAATCTATTTCTTTAAAGAATCTTTGCCTATTTGTGTGAAAAACCTCTGTTCAATCCCAAGCATTGTAGTTGAACGAATTCAGACTTGACCCCCTCCCTTTCTCTATAAATGTTGATCTAATTTGAGCTCAAAATGAGAGAAGAAGGGGAAAACCACGGATAAGAGCAAGAAGAGGCAAGAAACTTGAGGGAGGCCCTTAGAGAGAGAGACAAAGAGAGAAGAAATCTTTCTCATAGCCCATATATTGCCTCTTGTTTACCCGTAATTCGGAGGTACTCTGAACCTCAAATTCCAAACTCGCCTCCTCCATTTTCATGTGGAAGTTGTTGCAACCAGAAGCACTCCCTCTCTCAGGAACCCATTTAAACTTCATTCTATCTCATCCCTAGCTGTTGGAAAACTCCTGTCAAGGTACATATGAAAGGTAAGTATTTCATTTTAACTTTTAAGCTTGATTTTGTAATCTTTGATTTTTTTTTTAGTTTTTTTGGGTTGCTCGAGGTTCTGAAATATTAGAGAACCATTGTTTTCAATTTCTTCTTGACTAAGAATAGAGGTAGAGAGGTGAGGGTCTTAGGGAAATTTATACCTAAGACCCAATAACATCACTTCAAAATCGGTCTTAGGAGAAGTTGAAAGCATGTTCCTCTACATTTAAGAAATTCCTGCAACTATTTATATTTCTCTCCAAAAGAAATTAAGCCTGAACAACTCCCGTATTGGGCTGCTACATCAACTTAGAGAGAGGGGTGCCTAATCCCTTCCCTCTTCCAATCCTTGGGGCTCGAAATCTCTCGGTTGTGTGCCTTTTCCATGGAAGATGGAGTCACTATCAAAGATTTAAATCGAGTTTTTCAAATATGAAAATGAGGGCCCATTTAATGGGTGGCGACTCCATATTTTTAAGCCGGCCATGAGCTTCTCGGAGCTCACAGCTAGCGACTCCACTGGGGATAACTAGAACCTTTATCGTGTTTTGTTCAGACTCGGTTTCATTCTATTTGTTTTGTGTTGGTAAGTTTAAAAGTTGTTTGATTGTGATTCAAAATCGCACCTCAAGAAGGTTGGGCATGATAGACCTTCCCAACGTGATTCAAAACCACATTTTAACATTCTTTGGCGTGGGAGACCTCTTCCTCATACACTGTAATTACACTCAAAACCATTCTTGTTCCCAAATTACACCTGAAACTTCACCCAGAACCATACATTTATTGAAATCGCAACTAGAGTCTCACCCAAAACTGCATCTTCACCAAAATCACAACCAAGGTCTCACCCAAAACACTTCTCCTTTAAAATCACACTTCATTTCATCTCTGTTGTAGCCTAAAAGTCCAAAATCACAACTCATGGTTACAAAATCCATGGTCTCACTTAACCATTAAGTTACTTATGTAATTTGATTATTTGTTTTCATTTTAATATTTGAATGTGTATAATAAATAATGTAAAAGGTAATATTTATAAAATTTAAATTATAATGACAAATTTTGAATAATATATTAATATATTATGATAATCTATATATTAAATTACTCAATTTAATAAATAAAGACAATATAAGTTTTAAACTATATATTATCATTATTGAAAATCAAGTTTTTCAAGGACATGCTTTATCTTTTTTTTTTTTTTTTCTTTTAAAGGGGAGAATAAAGAAAGAAAAGGTTCCATGGAACCAAACCGAACCGTCCCATTCTCACCCCTAATGTAGACAACCTTGTTTTATAGATAGTATAAATAAACACCAACCATGCTAGTTTTGGACTTTTGTTCATGTGTGAGCTGAAAATGATTGCCCCTAGTATATTTTATTGTCTTTGGTTTGCATTGGAGAGGAAGACCAAGGAAACAAAATTGCAAGTTATATCTGATCAATGCAACTGGTTTTGTCTTAATTAAACAAAACAACAGTTGCTGTCTTGTTACGATGGAAAAGAAGGATGATAATAGTTGTTAATTTTCAGTGGGAATGAACCCGTCGGCATGCGATGCAGATGAATTCATTAACAAAACTAAGTCACGAAACTTGACATTTTTAAGAGACTTTTGCAGCATTTTACATTAAACATTAAAACCGCATGCCCTATCACATTGTTTGAATGAATAATATGAACCAAAGAAAAGCTTCTATTTGGAAGAGGGTTTGGTCTATTAAAGCTCAACCAAAAATCCAATTCTTTATCTGGCGATATGCCTCAAGGATATGGTTCCTACTATAGATAGCTAAGTTAAAAGAAAGACACCTAGCTAGTGGGAAGAAGATGTGGAGAAAATGCTGAAACCGAGGAACAATTTAATCTTTCAAGGGGAAAATGATCATCCGACTTCAGTTGTAGACAGAGCTCGATCTTTAATAAGAAGATTCTTTTAATTTGGTGGTGCTCAAAGACAATTAAACACAATTTCAGTTCATTGGGAAAAGCCTCCGACTGATTATGTCAAACAAAACTCAGATGCCTCTAGAGTCTGCGTTAACGGTGAATTGCACGTTAATCTGGGTTCTGTGGTTCAATCGGGCACGAACCGGCCACAATATAACCCAGAGTAATAAAAGTCCCCACAACCCTCATTCTGAGGATTTTTTCCCGCTACATGTTTTCTTCCTTTCACCGAACCCTCCCTCCTTCCACCAAACCATCCCTCCATCGGCGACAAGGATAACTCCGGCAACAAGGAGGACAACGGCGCCATGAACCACGAAGCCACCGGCGGTGTAACGGTAAATCGTCCGAACAAACTAATGTTTTTTTCCTATTTTCAACAGGTCGGAGCAGACCACAGCGGCAGTCAACATTCACCTAAACGAACCTGGGTTTCTGGCCAACCTTCATTCTGCGAATTTTTTCCCGTTGGCCAACCCACACACCGAACCCACCCTCCATCGGTGACAAGAATAGCTCCGGCGGTAGATTTCTGGCCTCTTCTCTTCTCCTCCTCCTCCTCCTCTTCTTCTTCTTCCAAGTGGCTCTGGTGGCGACAAGGAGAGCTCTGGCTCGAACTCTTCTTCTTCTTCTTACAAGTGGTTCTTGTGTTATGTTTTCAACAGAAACAACCCACCTGGACAGCCATCGCCGACCACAGCAACCACCTACTTGGACAACCGCCGGCGGGAACAGCACCCACCCTTCATCTTCAATCTTTAACTGTAACTACAACCCTTTTTCTTATTTTTTCCCTTTATCTATCTATCTTATATTCCTATCTCCATTGACCTGTTGGAGTGGTGTTGTCGTTACTGATGATGTCTTGTCTGAGAAGTGTGTTGCAGCAATTTAATCGGAACTACGTACAGGTCAATGCAGATTCATTTACAATTGCTGGAGCAGATTTGATTTATGGGATAATAAGGATTGTTGGGTTCGGTTTTACCTGTTCGTCCTTCAGCTCGGAGATACATCGGAGAAGAAAAAGAAGAGAGAGTCAAAGAAGAAGCAAAGAATGATACGTCGCCGCCGGCGCTCTGTCGCCGCCAATGGACAAGGGTTTCTCTGTTGTATGGGATAGGGTTCGGTGGAGAAAGAGGGACGAAGGAACTGGAAGCAGAGTCGAAGGGACTGGGAAAAAAGGGGTTTTGATTGAACACTCGACCAATTCGTGGGAACCGGTTCGTTTCCCTACGAACCGGAGCAGACCGCATTAACGCGCGTTTGAGCGTTAATGTAAACCTAATCGACGTGTCAACACGCCATTCACGGATGCACTTGTCCAGACGCGAACCCATGCCTCTAGGAAGCTAATTCACTCTCAAGCAGCCATAAGTTTTGTTCTGAGATCTTCTTCGAGCTCCTTGATTTCAGCAGTAGGTAGATATTATTACCCAGCCCAGGTGCTAACTTTAGAGGCCATGGTCTTGAGAAAAGGTCTTATGGAAGCGGTGAGTGCAGGGGTTTCTTGTTTAATAGCAAAATCAGATTGTCAGGAGCTTATTAAAGCAACCTATTCGAGGGCCGGAAAGTTTTTAGAGTGAAGTGGGTCCAATCTTGAAAGACATATAAGACTTACCTCGTTGGTTCCATTCCATCTCTTCGTGCTAATCGGATAGCTTACAAAGTGGTTGTAGTGAGGGGTGTAAACGGATTGAATTCGAATTGGTTCAGGCAATATCTGAATTTAAATCTGATTAGAAAATTTGATATTTGAATTCAATTTGATATCTGATGGATATTGAAAATTAATATTTAAATTTGAATCTGATTAAATATTCGAATATTCGATTCGAATTCGATTGATTAATTATTTTAGATAATTAATAAATATATAAAAAATATTTTTTGATATATAGTATATAAATATATAAATTATTTATATAACTTAATTATTATATAAATAAATTATATAAAAAATTTTATATATTATATATAAGAATTAAATAATCGATCGAACTCAAATATTTATCGAATCGAATCAGGTCATATACGAATTCGAATCCAATTAACTATTTGGTATAAATAGGATATCTGAATTCAACCAATTAGATATTCGAATTCGATTGAATTATGTCGAATATCAAATTTGAAATCGGACTTTCGAATGCCGTTGACACCCTTAATTGTTGTTTGTTCTTGCACAGTTGGCTAGTATGGCTGTGCTGCAAGAGTCCCTCTTTCTTAATTTCTGAAGAAAGTCAGTTCTGATCTTTGTATTGGTTTTGTTTCGGTTATTACCAAAAAAAGAAATTTTTGCAAAAAAAGTTTTTCAGTTTTATGGGAAGAAAGAATTCAAATGACAATCTCTTGTGAAAAAAATTCAAGTCAAATGGGACCATTAGTGATATCATAATTAAATGATAAAAAATTAAAAACTGATAAAAATATTAAAATCATAGAAAAATTAATGTAGAAAAACTGTAAATGAAATACAAATTAAGAATAAGAAAGAAAAGAGAACCAACATTTGACCTGGCCATGACTAAGGGTGTCAACGGACCAGTTTTAGATTGGACCCCTGTGGTCCAAAATCAATTTGGATGGATTGGACGGACCAGCAAGACATTGAATTGGACCAATCTGGTCCAAAATATTTATTAGATTGGATTGGACCTGATCCATGCATAATAAGTTTATATTGGACTGAGTTTGATTAAGCCAATATCTGGTCCGCTAATATAAGATAAGAATATAGGTATCAATGGACCATATTTGGATTGAAACCAATCTAAAACAAAACGAATTTAAACAAATTGAATGATCCAAACATTGAATTGGACAAGTCCAAAATGGTCCAAAATATTTATTGGATTAGATTGAACCTGATTGATTATAATGTACTCACGTTGTACTGGATCGGATTGGACCAAATCCAGTCCAATTGACACCCCTAGCCGTGACCCCACTGTGTCGAACGGTCTAACAGTTCTTCCAGTTGGCTCACCTGGTTGCCTATTGGGTGAATGATTTTTTTTTTTGCAAGTAGTTTGGTTCTGAAATGGATCCATAATTAATTAGTCATTTGATAGGTCAATCCGTTTGATCAATCAATTTGACCACTGGTTGAAATTGATTAAAAAATCAATTAATTGGGGTTTTTATAGTTCATTCAACTTATGATCTCATAAATTAAATAATAAAATACTATATGATTAAACAATAAAAACAGACAAAATATTATATACTTAAATAATAAAAACAGACAAATCAATATATATACATCAACTCTTGTCTCTTTCCAACCACACTATCAAATTCATTGATTTTTTTTTTCTATTTTCTATGGGAATTGTTCTGATTCTATGTAATTTATATTTGAACACTGAAGCCTACTCTTAATTTAGCTTAAGGAGACTACCAATATCATGTTCATGCATCTTATCTTGGTTGGTTTTAGACTTCTAACTTAGTTTCTAGGCTTTACTTTGCTTGCTTTAATTAGAATTTTAATTGGTTCACGACTGAGGAACCGATCAACATTGCAGCTGATAGAGATGGATAGTGATTGTTGATTTTATGTCATTAACCTTTTATCTCAGTCATTGTGTTCTACGTTTACAGCCTGTTGTTGATTTTATGTCATTAATATATTGTTTCCTCTGACCTATATCTCAGTCATTGTTTTTTGTTTTGTTAAGTTACTTTGAAATAAGACTTCAAGGCCTAGCCAAGAAAACATCTGTTGATGGAGATGGAGACAAGCCCACGTCAGGGATGGTACATTCGCTGATATTGACAACATAAATATTTTGTATTTTTCATTGGTTCAAGTTTTACTAAATGCGATTTCACGTTAACCGTTCAGGGCAGAGAAGGGAGGTTTTTCGGAGGTAGATTTATAGCCAACGATTGGACAGATTCTGCGATTTTCTTGCAGCAATAGAGCTCTGCCTGTAGGGTTGAAGGAGAAGATACACCCAGTCCCCTGTCTCAAAAGTCCGTTCCATCCTCTTCCCGTCTGTGCATATTTCTTCATCCTCACTTGTGCCTTGGCCAGGTTTTCCTTCAATTTCTCTAGTGCGTAGTCCCAGTGTTTGAATTTGTTATTATATGATAAGGATGATATGGAAAATTTTAATTGGATTAGGATGGAGTTTAGAGTTTGGATTGTTATGATAGAGTTTGAGATTGATTGAGTTTGAGTCTGAATAGGTTTGATTTGTTTTAGTTTATAAATATGATGTAATTACTATATTCAAATAATATAATTTATTTTCTCCTTCTCTGCTATTCTAATATGGTATCAGAACCCAAGATCTGAACCTAGAGGCCTTCCATCTAGGGGTGCAAGTCAGGCGGGCTGGGCCGGGTTTTAACTCAACCCAGGCCCAACCCTAAGAATTGGACCTAAAGCCCAAGCCCAGCCCGAGTCCAAGGTCAAGCCCGAATTATTCAACCCAAGCCCAACTTGAACTAAAATTTCAGGCATTGGGTTGGGCCCAGGCCCGGGCCAGACTTGGATCGGTTAAGAGGTTTTCATGTTTTGGAATTTTGGGTTTCCTTAACTCCTGTTGCCATAATGCCATTTGAATTAAAAGAAGTTGAAACGTCAAAGACGACGGGAATCAGTGTGTTTAGAAAAAGAAACTAATTAGTAATTAATGAGTAATGGCATTGGCACATGACACCTAATACTAAATTAGTAGTTTACTAATTAAACAACTATCATTAAGTCATTAACATACAATTCAACTGTATACACATATATTATAATTTTCGGGTCGGGCTCGGGTTACCCAAGATCTCAACCCGAGCCCAACCCGAAAAAATATAAAAACCCGCATTTTCAAGCTCAGGCCCAACCCGAGGCCCAAAAAGTCCAACCCAACCCGTGAAAAAATCGGATTGGGCCAGGCCGGGTTTGAATTAAGCCCGCCCAAATTGCACCCCTACTTCCATTATGCTTCTTGTGTTTCTGGCAGATGGCCAACATCTTAGTCACCTATCGGGTCTGCTCTCTCAATTTATTTTTTAGATTTTTTTTTCTTCTTTTATGTTGAATTTTTATTCCCTTAGATTTGGAATTTTATTTATATTATATATCTCTTAATCGGATATCAACCATATCACATCTGGTTTCCCAATTTCCATTGATTGCTTTGCGTGTGAACAATTACGACATTGTAACCAATTAGTAATCACGGTGGTGCTTCCTTCAGATTAAAGATCACCTATCGGGTGTGCTGCTCGGTGTCCACCCAACACTCGTGCCTTTGACACATTCTCCCAACAAGGTTATCTTCTATCTTCCATGATAAGTTATCGTTACACTTTTTTATGTTCAGGCCAGCCAGCTATTCACTTCAATCTATTCGGTTATTCCCTAACATGACTGTATTGGAGGAAATAGGTGGCGCATGCTATATTAATCAACCACCATCATCACGCTGTCAGAATCAACCACCTACTACTTTCCATGCTATTGCCAACATCTACTTGATTGTATGTGACATTTGCATACCACCATATTTTCTAGAGAATCACAACACACTTGCAATTTGATTGAACCAGTTAAACCAGTTTAGATCGGTTCAGATTGGTTTGGCAACATGGATTTGCTGTTCTTCCATTTGGCCCGTAGAGGCCTATTTCAATTAAAAACAAAAAACAAACAAAAAGAAAAGAACCCATTGAGGCATCTTTTATTTGGCCCAAGGTGGCCCTTCTTTGGTTTAGCCTATCAAGGCATTTCATTGAATCATTGGGGTCTTTATTGGCCCATTGTGGCCCATTTCATATTGTCTCAAGAAGCCGCCCTTTGATGCATTTGGGTTGACCTATTGAGGTCTTTTGTTGGCCTATTTTCAATTTGGCCCATGTTAGCCCATTGRCAATTATCGCCATTAACACATGAGGAAGGCTTTCTCTTAAAGATATAGCAGGTTTTCATTATCATGCTATCATCACGGCCATAGTGAGTCACATTATCATCACAACAGGCTTGGAGATTTTGGCACATCATCACATTGTAAAATCTTTGATCAAGCACATATGTGTTTGAGGAGGGACATGTTAGGAAGTTGAGATAAGATTGAATTTGTTATCATATGATAAGGATGATATGGAAAGTTTTAATTGGATTGTTATAGAGTTTAGAGTTTAGATAGAGTTTGTTATGCTATGATAATGTTTGAGATTGATTGATATAGACTACATAGAGTATTAGATAGAGTCTAAGAGTTTGAGTTTGAGCTTGAATAGGTTTGATCCGTTTTAGTCTATAAATATGATGTAATTACTATATTCAAGTAATACAATTTACTTTCTCTTTCTCTGTTATTCTAATACTACTCCGTAGACAACTTGGTAAGGAGTGGTGTGTGCTAAGGACTGGTAAGTGGTATTGTACCACCACTCTGCTAAAGGAAGCCACTTCACCTATGTATTTGGTTGAACATTAGAAAAATATCTCATGTAAGCTTCTAGTATTCTATTGAGAGCTTCAGTCTATCCGTCTGCCTGTCTGCGAGTGGGCCAGAAAAGTTGAAGAAGAACCCCTGTCGGAGGAATCCTAAAAAGTATTACAAGTTTCACCGAGGTACGAGCCATGACACTGAGGACTGCTACGATCTAAAAAATGAAATAGAGTCACTCATTCGTCAAGGCCACCTCAAGCAGTACGTCGGAGGCAAGGTTGGTGCCTCGTCCTCTCAGCAATAGTAGCACCAGCACCAGCAAGCAGCAGGCGTCATAGTGGGAGGCGCGGCATCGGGTGGAGCCTCGGCTTCGGCTCACAAAGGCCTCTTTGGCCCCGCCTAAGTGAACGATTGAAAGGGTGTTTTGCCAGGCAAGCCCCGGCTCAGCCTCGGAGGCTTTGCCTCGACCACCCCTTCGCCATGATCCTGACGCACAAAAATAGAACAAAGTAAACTGAAGAGAACAACGCTCATCCCTCACTGTGTTTTTTCCTTTGGAGGGGCAAGGACCCTTCGGCAACAAAAGCATAAGTGCAAAAAACGATGYGAAAACATACAGGGAAAGATAACACAGCAAAACGCAAAGTGCAACAGTTGAAGCAAAAGATAAAAAAATTCCTCTGATTTTCATTATGCACAAAAAAAATCCTTTTGGCTTTACAAATTTGTTCTATGGCCCTTCATGCCGAATACAAAAAAAGAAAAGAAAAAAAAGCAAAAAGCTTGGCTTAAGCCTCGCTACCAGTTGGAGGAGTATCAAGAATCACCTTCAGAGATTCAACATTGAAGTCTGGAAGCACCACCAGGAGTGCCTTCTTAGTGTCCTCGGTCCCATCCAAATAAGCCCTAGAAGCAACATCAGCTAGCTCGTTAGCCTGTTTCTCTTCTTCCTAGGCCCTCTTCTCAGCACTAGCCATCTTCTGTTCGGCCTCAGCAGCCTTCTTAGCTGCCTCCTTGGCCCTCCGCTCTGCATCGGCCGCCTGCCTGTTCGCCTCAGAGATGCCCTCCTTGGCTTGTCGGAGATGCCGCTCGACCTCGAAGATTAGGCTCTCGACCCGAACCCTCTCAATCTGCTCCTTGGCAAGAAGATCTTGCATCTTCTTCAGGTTTTCCTCAGCTTCCTTGCGGAACTTTTGTTCATCAGCAAAGAACCACTGCATCTCGCAGCGCTTCTCCACGGTGTTAGCGACAGTCTCCTGAAGCTTGTCTTTCTCAACCTCCAATCCATATTGTACAGGGTCAGCTTCAGCCGATCCCCTAGACCAACAAAATGAAGGTAGACCTACAACAAGAAAACAACCAATACCCAACAAAGAGAAGGAAGGAAAAAGAGAAGCAAAGAGGAACAAACTGTTACCTCGGCCAGGCTTTGCAACCCTTGGTCGTATAGCTTGTCAGGGGCCATCACCAACATCTAGAAGTGATCTTGAGACACCAAGGACCCGCTTACCAGTGTTGGGCCAACTCCCGCGTTGTGGATTGGGTCACCCTTGCGGACCTCCCACTAGGGGTGAAAGATCTGGTTAGACCATTGGGCGAGCTCCTCCAATGGCGTGGGAGCAGAGAATAACCCCATCCACTCCATGTGGGACTCCTTAATGCGTCATTGACAGAGCTCCTAGTGCGGGCCACCTTTTGCTGCGGTTGACCCCCCACGGCCCCCTTGGCCGGTCTCTTCCTCCTTGCCTCGACCTCGTCGGCAAGTCCCCTCAGCACCTCGGTCGGTTGCTGTGGTGCCTTYTTTCGTGCCCCGACTGTTCCTCCTCGACGAGCCCCTTCCCCTTCATGGGGATCTGCGAAGTGGCTCCCTTCGGGGGAGTTGTTGAAGAGGTCCCTTTCGCAGGGACCTGTGCCCTCATCCCCTTGGCAGGGACTTGGTAGGAAGACCCCCCCTTTGCAGGGGTAGAGACCTTCTCGACCTTCTCTTTCTACCCACCAAAAGGCCTCTGGGGCGTCTTGGCCTGTTCCTTCTGCATGGTGTGAGCACATTCCAGAACATCCTAGCGGGCATCCATTGGCACCTCTGCAAACAAAGTGATGCCATCAGTAAGGCAACAAAAGAAAAAAAAAGAGAAGAAGAGAAGAGAGAAGGAAAAGGGAGGGGTAAAAAGGACATGTTAAAAGACTACAGGGTCTCTCCTACTGAGGGGAGTAGGGTTAAGCCCCRCAAAAACTAGTGGGACCTCCTCCTCCACCAAGGGCTTGGCTCAAATTATCCCCAGGTTAAGCAACTACGCGAGGTCATCGTTCTCCGCACTCATGAGCACAGGGACACTCTTCTCCGCAGCCTGGCTAACTTCTCCCCACCCTGACTTGAAGGACCAACCCTCGGGGCAATGACAGAAAGAAGAATTTTCCCTTCCAGTTATGCACGGAGGAAGGGTTCTCTATCGTCTTGGTCTTACGAGGTTGAAGGTAGTACATGCTGTCCACGGAGGAATGCCTCCTTGGCAAAAACAGCGCTCAGAAGAGCCTTAGCATCAGCTCCACCCCCTAGAACTGAGCCACCACCAGCATGGCCACTAAGGTCCTAATAGCCTTGGGCACCAGCTGGCTGAGAGTAATCCCATACGCCCTCAACAATTTGGAAATTAGCGGATGAAGGAGAAACCGGAGACCAAACTGGAGGAAATGTTGGTAGACGCAGACCTCCTCCTCCTTAGGAGTCCACGACTGTTCGCTTACTTCGAGCACCCTCATACCATAGGATGAGGGAATAAAGTACTGCCTTGCCAGAGCTTTGACCTGGTCCCTATCTAGAGTGTTCTTGAAACCTAGGCGGAGGACATCGGTCTCAGCTACTACCTGGGCAGCTCGTACCGAGAACATGGTCTAAGGTTCCCTCCCCCACGGCTGGGCAGGCCCCTTCGGCCTCCCTCAGTGTCACATAAGCGACACTCTAACAGGGAGGGTCCTCACCTCGATGGTTGCCTTCAGTGCCCTTAGGTGCTACCCTTTCCCGGAGCATCTTGACCTCCTACCGGAGGGGGGCAAGAGTAGAAGGACTCAAGGGGGAAAGGGGAGAAGGGGTATGGGAAGAGCTCCTTTCCGACTCATGCAGAAGTTCATAGCACACAGGTCCAGAATCTGAGAAAGACATTGTTTAAAGTTACCTAAGAAATTTGGAAGAAGAAAGAGTGAGAGTAAAGTTACCTTAGAGGCAAACGACGGGAATGCTACTCCTAAGGGCCTTATTTAAAGAGGAACGAACGGCCCAGATTTCTCAAGATCCAACTGCTAAGAAGCCACCGCCTCCACTACCCAATCATGGCGCACTGCGTGATGCTCAACCTCAGAAGGTGAAACAACGCGCTAGCGATGGCTCGGATTGTCCCTAATCCAACAAACGTGAAACGCCTCTGCACCTACGATTCATTTGCACCACATCCCTAAACGCTCACCCTCGGAAGGCGAAATGACACTCAACCTTACAATCTTTAATGCATAACCCCAAAAGGATGTTGGTAATTCTAAGTGTACGAGAAGTGATCGGACCATATCCAATAAAGTTCAGTTCCTCCTCTCTAACACACTGTTTAGTTGTGGTGTAGCAGGAGGAGCTAGTTGTGATACTATCCCATTGTCATTTAAGTAGTCCCTAAATTCGTCAGAGAGATACTCGCCACCTCGATCTGATCGAAGGGTCTTAATTTCTCTCCTCAACTATTTCTCGACCTCTTGTCTGAATTCTTTGAACTTTTCAAAAGATTCAGACTTATATCTCATTAGGTATACGTAACCACACTGTGAGTAATCATCGGTAAATGTTATGAAGTAAGCGTGTTGGTTACATGTCCTAACATTCATGGGACCACATACAT